GATAGCTTACATCATCATCACTCCGTCAGTTTTTTTTTTTTTTTTTTTTTTTTTTAAAGGAAAACATTTGAATAGAGAAATTAGCAGACAGTAACGTGTATTTCTTCGAACTTTTAACAAATTATCGGCGAATATCTTTTGTTTTTCAAAGTCTAGCGTTGACATGTGTCCAAATAAAAACACAACTTGTCTATATTTCTGATGAATCATGAATGGAGTGACGATCACTAATATTAAAAGTCAAAGTAATTACAAATAAATATTTCACGAAAAAAAAATATAGCGCAAAATCATTTTTACAGAGGTCTTATTAAATCACTCCTTCTGTCTGTCTGGTTGGGTGGAATCTTTTAGACGTTATTTCTCCCGCTTAAGATCAAGTTGAAACTTTGCGTAATTATTCATTGTCCCTAACAAAACATGAATGAATAAAAAAATATGAATTAATTAATGGTCATTAATTAATTGTGTTTGATACCGAAATGGGATATAAACCTTACATTATTGAGTTATGTGGCTATGGCTATAATTATGGAGTTGTTCACTCAGATAAGCTTTTTTTTTTCAAAAGTATTTTTTAATATCAGGCTTGTTTTTCAATTTGTTACTGTCTCAAGACACGTCGCAATGGAAGTGACTGATACTATTTTTTGGGGGGAAACTAAAGTCAGTGTAGAGCGATGGATCTTAAGGTCTGTATGACGAACTACATCTACTTATGTATGCCGAATCTATTCTTCTTCATTATAAATTAAAGAAAAAAATCTATATGCACATCAATGATAGGGTTGTGTTTGTTTTTCGGTGTTTAGAATTTTCTTTAAATGTTAATGAAAGATTAAAATTAATTTTTTTCCGAGGAAATTGCAGAAGCAGAAAGGACATACAACGATTGACCTACTTTATAAGAATTGGTCACTTCATATTTATTGCTCACCTCTCCAAATCTACCAGTTATCCTCCCCCCCTGTTGAGAGTTATGAGTATCTGTGAGTTACACCTGTTTTGTAACATTTTCTTGTGGGGGAAAAGGGCTGCTAACATATTTCCATGCTGCTATGTGCATCTCTACACGAGTCAATCTCAAATTGAGAATTCCTGATCTGCATCGAGATACGAAACTCGAGCCTTCTTGTAAGGGAGCCAAGCAACTCTGTCACACATCAGAGGTAGATCTAATTGGCATACAATGAAATTGTCTATCATAACAAGAGTCTACTAGCCCATAATAGCCAGCAATAACGTTTTGGGTTCAAGTCTGGTCTTGAATGATGTTGTAAAAATGAGGAACTAGGTGGCGCCACTGAAAGACAAAAAAGTGCCAATCAGGTCGCAGACATCATCCAAACATGTTACATCAAGTAAACGCATGATCTGATTTCTCTCCTGCAGGATCTCGCTGGTTACATCCGGGATCTCGTTGGCAAAGGACCCAAAGCAACATGGATGCCGACTTTAACGGCTCCTAAATTCTTCGGCGATCCTCAAAAATTTGAAGTGGAGGCCTCGACCGGCAACGACATCGACTACAACTGGAGGTACTGGGTGCCAGAGTTTTACTACGGCTATATGCCCAAACAGTATCCGGTCACTGTTGGCGACTTCAAGGCTCGCTGGTACAATGGCCAGCATGCGTATAAACTAATGGGACGTCACTACTTTGATCTTCACCGACCAGCTTAAAACTTGAAGTATCATCTGCTTATTGTCTGGAAGTATCGTCTGCTTTTAGTCTGAAAGTATCGTTTGCTTCCCGTCTGGAAGTATTGTTAGTTTCCTTTCTGGAATATCACAAATATATATCGTAGTCTATTGTGGATACTAAATAAATAAAGAGTTCTACTTCGACTTGATTCAAATTTGTTCAATATTTGGTTTGAACTGACAAAGAAAAAGGGGGATAATCCTATATACGTAATTTAAACAAGCGATTGACCAAGCACGAAGAAACATTTTCCTGAACTCATTGGCCATGAGTTCAACTAAATCCTAGAGTTACCGCATCTTTTATTTGACATAGATTGTGTGCAACTAATACAAAGAAATGAACTGGAATAGGACAAGTGGTTACAAAATGTATCTCAGCCAACACAAAGACTCCAAAGGGAAATAATGTGTTTTCGGCCTTCACATTTCTATCGTGTAACTGTTCACGTTATCAGTGGGATGACCCATAACTTTTTTGAAAATGTCTTTACTTACCAAGTTCACTTACTCCGTCTGTCTCTCGGGACCATTCTTTGAAATGTTTTCTTTTCTCCTACCTCCCATTCTCGGATCAAGCTGAAAGTGTGCGCCGTTATTCCTAGTCGATAGTTAATCAATTAAAAGTAATAATAAATTTGTGTTTGATGTAAAAGGGGGAGATAAACATTGCAGTATTGAAAGATTGGGCAGTGATTGCGCTGTGCTTTCCATTATATAAGCTTTGTTTAAGAAAAAGTAAACAAGTTGTTTTGTTTTTTTTCACTTTTTAAAAAATTTTGTTTCTTCTTTAATATTTGTTCGTATTTTACTTCGCACACACTTCCTGTATTATAATTTACGAGATTCGGAGTTCAAATCCTCGCTACTTCTTCTGAATTAGATAACTAGCATCAATCAAATATTAGATGATCAATAAGTAGACAATGTTAAGACAGAGTGCTCAACTTAAATGAGACAGGGTGCTAAACTTTAATGAAGCAGAGTGCTAAACATTAATGTGCCATAGTTCTGGAATTTAATGAGATAGAGTGTTAAACTTTATTGAGACAGATTGCTAAGCTTAAATGAGACAGAGTGTTAAACTTGAATGAGACAGAGCGTTAAACCTTAATGAGACAGAGTGATTAACTTTAATGATACAGGAGTGCTAAGCCTGAATGAATATGTATTGCTGAAGTCACCTAAGCATTTATTTAGAATGATTTAGAAGACTAGATGATTTTGAGACACACATATGACGTCTATAGCAGTGGCTAGGGTGAATCTTCCAACAAGTGTGTCCAGTCGATCCCATGGTATTTATTTCTCTGTTTACATCCAGGAGCTGGTCGTACATATCAAATCGCTGGAAGGCCAGCCGAGGCGGATGTCTTCAGGGGCGGAAGATCTGCCGTTCGTCTATCCTCACCGGATGTTCACCCCTGGAGAATTGTCGCCACGTTACCAGTGGCGGAACCTTGAACATCCAACGATAACTGATCCCTGGAGGGGCCATGCTAAACACATAGCTACGAAAGTCGTTGGAACAAAGGGACTCTACCTCACCGCCTATCCTTATGACACAGATAACCCTTTTTATTACGGGCATTAACAATGGCTAGAGGGGTCGAAAGTCAAACAAATAGTAGGTGTGCTGAACTGACTGATAAAACAACAATGAAAAAATAAAAATTCAAAGAAGCCGAAACATTGAGTTCAATTAAACGAGTTAATGAAATTTCCATCTTGTTGTTATTTGATGTCTAGACATAAACTTTCACCTTAGTTTTAATTTATTTTACAGGTGGGAAGAAAAAGATGTGTGTGCGGAGGGGGGGGGGTTACAGTAATAATGGAAATAAATAAACATAAATATGATTACATTTAATTATTATAATTGATTCGACATGTCCAAGCACTCATCTGTTAATCTGTTAATGCTTAGCATGGATGATCTATAGTATGCGACAGTTTTTAAAAAAACATACATCTTTCTCCGTTCTAATCCAATTGAGGCCTGATCTTTTTGTATTCTAATTTTTAATCAAAGTTTTAAGCCCAACTAATACAAGATTGAATTCTAAATTTGAGAAAAATAAACTGTCTCACGTTTAAACAAAACAAATGCTTGCAGATCAACTTATAAGACAAGCAGAGCGCTATGATCAAGGTGTCACAAACTGTCTGTATATTACCACTCTACATGTGGTGGTGCATGCATGCCTAGGGGTTCCACTAGTGAATCCCGGATCACTTAGTTGCTGGCAGGATTCAAACTGGCACTCGTTGAAGTGCTTTGATCACCCTCGCACTTTCCACCAAGAAACAAGAACCTCGTGTAGTGCTCCGTCAATAGGCTCTCTACCATCAAAATACCTTTTCAATGTATACAGAAGAATACCAATGATGTTCGGTGAATGGGAAATAGTCAGGCCTTCCTGACACACGGCATACATCGAGTAAAAGCTCTACTCATTCCTCCCTCAGGCCTTCCTGACACACGGTATACATCGAGTAAAGGCTCTACTCATTCCTCCCTCAGGCCTTCCTGACACACGGTATACATCGAGTAAAGGCTCAACTCAATCCTCCCTCGCCAAAACTCTTGTGGACCCATTTTATAGCCCCTTCTATACATGAGAATTCGGAGACCCCGTGTTAACCCGAGACCAATCGTTAGACAAGACCTGAACACTGACCTGCGACGATACAACCTGTAGGCCGTTTAGACCAATAGTTTGTTACCACTTAGCCGTTGTTTGTTTTCATTGATTTGATTCCATTGAAAGCTACCTACATCGATAATCAAGCTATCAAGTAAACTGTCCATGGAAATCGTTTTAAATTCATATGCATACACAGCGAATACATATACAACAAAAAAAGAGAACAAAAAGCAACACGTGTTTAAGTGAAAAATGTGAGAGCGTATCATAAATTTTCTAACTAAATTAATACATTTTGATCTACATCTATTTTTATCTCGTGTATAATTATGTCTTCCAATATTAATGCTACAAAACTGTGTGTGTGTGTTCCAGGATCTGGCCAAGATTATTCAGTGTCTTTCCAACACACAATTTCCTGTCACCAGTCTTCATCGACCTGGCCCACGTCCGCCATCTTTTTCTTACCGGGAACATTTCGCAGCGCCCTCTGTGGTGCCATGGTATGAACAGAAACGTCACATTCCCTACGTGGATTACGCCATGCAAACCAGCCGGATTCAAGCTGCCCGACTGGCCAACCAGCATCAGTATTACATGTCACCCTAGCCAATCGAATGCCAGATAACTAGATATCATCCAGACATTTACACAAACACACACACAAGCTTTGAAATTCAAAGAATGGAAATCAAGTTTGCACTTCTCACATGATGTGGAACATAACCTTGACATTGTGTCTAAATATAACCTTGACATTGTGTCTATTTAGTCCCTTCTTAAGCACTTTAGTTATCTACATCTGAATGTTCGCATTATATCACATGAAATGGAGGACATACTGACATACTACTAATGTGCACTGCGTACGCTATGAATCCACCAACTGTTTCCAGATTTGGCATAACATTACGTACATGTTTTGTACCATTGCTATTTAAAGAATAAAATATGCCTTGCACCTAAATCCATCATTCATCAAACTTATATTTTATAACATACAACTTGCTTAATACTCAAATAAAATAGTCTTCACTTGTCTATACAATGTCTCCCTTTCAGACCATGCGCTCTATAGGGCTGATGATGGGTCATCTGTTTCTTCGGCGAACGGTTAACGAGCAGGGTGTCATGTGGCCGGCACAACGACCAACCCCCTTTAATTTCCCCCAACTTAAGTCAGGGGCGCCCTTAAAATAAAATCCTGAAGTTCAAAATCCCAGTCTTCACCGAGATTCGAACCCAGGACCTCAGGTTAGGAAGCCACATTGTTTAACTAAAAAGATATCGTTACGTTTAAGTCTGAGAAGGAGCTCATAGAAAATGTGGTAGTGAAAAAACAGACTAAATAGAGATAGACATAGCATGGGCGTAGCTAGGATTTTTTTTCGGGGGGGGGGGGTTTGTGGATGATTTTTTTTCTCTCACCCCCCCCGAAAAAAAAAAGGCCCTATATATATATATATATCCCCCTTTGACTATGATCATATCATTTTGAGTGTATAATTTGCTTTTTTTTAAATTGAAGAGGTATTTTATTAGCTTCAAACCCCGCTGAAGAGGGGTCTAAACTCAAAACCCCCTTTGGCTACGATCGTAGCATTTTGAGTGTGTAATTTGCTTTTTTTTAGCTTCCAACCCCACTGAAGGGCGTTTTAAACTCAAAACCCCCTTTGGCAACGATCATAGAATCTGGTGACTGATGTATGGATAGTCTTATATTTAAGTGGGGGTTTTATCGTAAATTTCGGAGGGGGGTTTAAAATCAAAATCTTCGTTAGCTATGCTCATGGAATTTGATGATTATTGTTTGCATATTTTTTTTTTGGGGGGGGGGGGGGGGAAGGTTTGTTTTATAGAAAAGGGGATTTGACTGCGAAACCCCCTTGTATGGGGTTTTAAACTCAAAACCCAAATTGGCTGCGCTGGGGCAAGTGATGGTCTAGTATTAAAATCTCACCTAAAATAAACAAAATCAAAGCAAAAAATCAGTCACTAAATTCTGATTTCATTTCGGACCCCCCTCCCCATAGCTACGCCCATGAGACACAGTAAAGAGGAATGAAGGGAACACCAGGATAGGAAAGAAACGAAAAAGAAAACAAAACAAAACAAATACTTTGGAAATTCCCAAAAAGTATTGAGGAACACTGAGAGATAACTCAGATAACTGAGAGAGAACTCGTAATTCGTGGCATAGTTAGCTAACTTGAGCTCCTTGGTTTCCCTCTCTTGACAACAGAAAGTATTGGTTGAAATTTGGAATTTCGTCTTTTGCTTTCGTTTTCCATTTTCAAATTGAACATTTGTGTCTTATAGTTAGGCCAGCAAATCACCAAGAATGTTTCTCATTCATCAAACTATCTCTCTGTACATTGTATAACAATTTGAACATCTAGATATTTAAGAATTGAAAGTACCATGCAATACATCTTTGAATGAGCTTCTCCTATTTCCTCACTTACGCTCAGGATTACGGTCGTCCCAGAGCCATGTAGGGTTAGTTGTTCGTCTTTGATAGGGTCACTATCTGTTCAACTATAGGCCTATAATCTTTGTCACTGCTGAATACATGTGATTCAAAAAGTATAAACATATTTTATTCTATGTCCAGGGTATGCCTTAGGCATAGACATACTAGGCAGTCGCCTAGGGCCTCCGATTGATGGGGGCATCGCATAGGACTCAAAGAATATCTCAAATATAGCAGAACTCTCTGGCTCTGTCTACTAGCCTAGCTCCAAGTCTCTACTATCATTTCATTTTCTTCGTGAATGTTTAGATCTACTTGTTACATATGCTAGAAGACCCTTGTTTCTTCCTTTTGGTGAACAATTCGAAATTTAGATCTAGTTTGGTGATCATGTACCATCAGTGAGATACACCCAAGCTATCGGCGCTTTATGGCTTTAACTTATTGATTTACATATAGACACAGAAATGTTTTTAGATCATTTGCAAATTTTTCGGTCTCAATTTTTGTGTGTTTCTTATTCATTTCGGGCCACCTTTTTCATTTCAGGCCACCTTATTCATTTCGCCTACGACCTCCGATTACCCAAAGCCGGCCCTGCTATGCCCTTGGTCAATAGCGCAGCAAGTTATCCATAGACCCAAGTTCAATAATATAACCATGCTCCTCCTCCAATTAAGAGGATGAGTTTGACAAAAATGCCCCTGTTGGCCTGTTTTAGTTTAGGCAGGGGCGCAATGAATCCCTTCTTACAATAGTAACTACGTTTATTTCCATGGTTGTAATTTGGCGTTTCATGGCCATACTTCTTCAATTTAAGACTAAAAAAAATGTCTTTTAGTTTTGGTGTAATTGTATCTTCCCATAAACTTCAATCCATTACATAGTAACAACTAATATTGATTAATGGTAAACTTATAGTAACCAACAACACATAATAATAAATATAGTTTGAACTTTCTTCTTTCACCAAATAGTATAAAAGGCACATTCCTCATCCCATATGCTAGGACAAATTTGTACAGATGCTCCTTCTTCCCTATTGCTATTAGAGCATTGAATGGGTTGCCTGAGCTAGCCAGGAAAACCAGTGACTTAGCAGAACTTAAGTCATTGGTTAATATGCATGACTGAATGCATGACGCGTAGGACGTAATCATCTTCTTTTTTGAAGTAACGTCTGTATTATATAAGAAGAAGAAGATTATTGATTAATGGTAAACTTCTGGTCACCAGACTGTCAAATCGTATCGCTGACTATGGCATGGCCAATTCAATGATTATAATATATGACGGCTATAATTGACATTTGTAAAAAATCCCATTTGGAGCAGTATGCACAAAGGATAACTGTACGAAGCATAGAGACTAAAGATTATCCTTATAAACAAATTATAACAAAATATAAACAAAATATAAACAAATTATTACAAAAAAGAAACAAATTCGTTGGTGACTGAGACTCTCAAGAAAAATTTCATTTTGGTTCCACAGAATTTGCAACTGGCCATTGAGAGTCTCACCCAGAAAAGGCTACCCATGTGGGATAGTCTCCCCTTCACCAAAATGCCTCGTTTGTACAAATTTGACCTGAATGATCGCCCCTCAGGGAATACTGCTAGTGCCATGACTCTGATAGAATTCAAAGAGAGGAATGATCGTCTGCTGCGATCCAGCGTCTCTTATCCGTGGAATTACTTAAGTTGGAATTATTACTAGATCTAATTCATTCAAGGTTACAATAACAACACGGTGTTATCAACAGAAAATGCCACAGAAATTAAGTCCCACGTAATAGTTTAAGATGCAATACCGTAAAAAAAAAAAAACTGTTTAAAGAAATACTTTTTATTAATTATGTTGACTCTTATTACATCGAGTCTCAGAGTTTACAAATAAAGATGTATTCAACTGTCTTTATTTTTTTTTCTTTACTATTATGGTTATTATTTATTTGTGTTTGTTTATTTTTTATTGTAATATCCGCCGTGCTAATCTTCACCATTACTGTGCTTCTACTCATGAACTCAGGACCAGGGTAACCCTGTTTTTTTCCTGAGAAATGTTTAATTTAAACTAGGTCTAAATGTTTTAGAAAGCAAATGTTAGAAACAGTTCAACGTGAGTTCTTTGACAATGATTTTAACCATAAACCAGGTTCTTAGGTGAAACATAATTTGTTCTGCGGATTTGGTGATGTGCTATCAAGTTTTCAGTACGCCGACTTTTAGTTGTTAAGTGAATCATAAGAATCAGTTACATTGTACAACTGAAACAAATTAAAGAGTTGTTATTTGATAGTCCGGGTTATCGATATCATGACAATTTCAACGTGTCCCATAAGCTTGGGTGTAAGCTAGGGTGTAAGCTAGGGTGTAAGTTTGGGTGTAAGCTTGGGTGTAAGCTAGGGTGTAAGCTTGGGTGTAAATGAGCCATTATCAGGTTTAAACTGTTGGCTTTTGTCTTATTTGTTAAAAATACAGGACACGATCTTGGTGTATAATATGTGTGTTTGGGGGGGGGGGATTATATCGGCCTCCTTCAGTCGTAGAACGACTATGGTTCATCTCAGGGCACACTTCATTTGGCTGTGGAGGCCTATTTTGGAAACTCCCGTCCACAAAAAAAAAAAAAAAAAAAAAAAAGCGCAGGTTGCTTCGGTGGTAGAGGAGCTGGCCATTTTTCGGATTGTACGTTTTTCTTCCTGAGCTGAGACCCATGTTTTTTCACTGTCCATAGCTTTCTTGGTCACTGTCTCTCTCCATCTGGTGCGGTCTCGAGCTATGTCTTCCCAATTGTCAGCAGAGATGGCCTCTTTAAAATTTTACAGATAATAGGCTGTCTACCCAAGCTACTAAATGTAATCGTATCTTTCCTCCAAAATATGATGGGTACAGTGCAATAAAATGGTGCAAGCTCCGAAGGATATGTCCTGGCCCCAACCCTCTTTGGAATACTATTTTCGCTGCTAATCCACAGCGCGTTTGACAAATCCACCGAAATCATCTATCTCCATTCCAGATTTGATGTCAAAGTCCTAAATATTGCCAGACTGAGGGCCAAAACTAAAATCAGGGGGTGGAGATTAATGCAAAGCATTTTAGAGATACAGTTCGATATCTTAAAATCGTTAGCTCTTTCAGAAAATCCTTTCTATTAACTGTGAACAGTTGGCAGGTTTTCAATAGATAAAGATGATGACGTCTTAATGCAGACATCCTGCAGTGGATGGAGAAGGGCCGGTTTCGAACTAGGGACCATCGTCACATTTCACACTAACACTCAGCCATTTTATTTTAAAACACAAACATTTTGACGGAAAGAAGAATCAGATGTCCTTAAGGTCCGAGAACGTCCCGTTCCCTATTATGGACCTCTTGACCAAGGAAAG